TAGCTTGGTGCTTTTTAGATGAAGAAAATGCTGGTACTCTCCTTAGCTTAGAGCAGGGGTGTCAAACTCAAGGCCCAGGGGGCGGATACTTAGATTTAACCTGCAGGGTCACCCTGGAAAAAGCAAAGGACCGGCCCACGGTGCCTCTGCCAGCAAAAATGGAGCTTGGGAGGGCCACGCATGCCCCCGCGAGCTCCGTTTCTGCTGGCAGAGGGTTGCAGGAGGCCATCACAGCCAAAAACAGAATTCAGGAGCCTGATTTTGCTGGCAGAGTGCTCAGGCCACCATAGGCAAACCCCCCTCACAGGAGTAACATCATGATGGCCACGCCCACCCCGGCCCTCCGAGGTCAAAGACAACCCTGATGCAGCCTTCAATGAAATCAAGTTTTCTCAGACCGGCTTAGAGGTTCCGGAGCAGTGGCATCCAGAGAATATCCTGTGTTTCTCCAGCATCCTTAGGATAATGTCACTATCAACACACTGTACAGTACAGATTTACAACAAGTACTTGACTTACAAGTTCTTTTAGTGACCGTTCAAAGTTACAATGGCACTGAAAAAAATGACTTATGCCCATTTTTCACACTTAACAACCATTGCAGCATCCCCCATGGTGATGTAATCAAAATTCAGATGCTTGGCCACTGACTCATGTTTATGACAGTTGTAGTACCCCCAGAGTCATGTGATCACCTTTTATAACCTTGAGGCAAGCAATGGGGAAGCCAGATTCACTTAACGTCCATCTTACTAACTTAACAACTGCAGTGATTAACGGCTATGGCAAGAAAAGTCCTAACATGGGGAAAACTCATTTCATAAACGTCTCACTTTGCAACCTAAATTCTGGGCTCTGTTGTGGTTGTAAGTTAAGGGCTACCTGTGTTCACAGAGAAGGGAAACTGAATGTTGTACGGAGTAGGAGATATTTCCAACAAGTCAGCTTTGTTTCTGAAGACGGAGAAGCAAGAAAGAAAGGATATTTGAAATTGTTCTCCGGACAAATAGGCTGGGGAAAAAAGCTTCTATCCCAGCCAGGGCAGTAACTCTGTTGAATTCTACTGTAGAGGGCAATATTAATGCAATATCAGGGGTTTTCAATTCAGTGTAGAATTGAATTGAATGTGAAGGATGTGTGTTTGTGTTTATTTTCATAGTCATAATGTACACTGAAGATGGTATTTAATTTCATTGTACAGATGCAATGACAATAAAGTAAACTAAACTAGCTAGGATTATATGTGGTTTGGGATCACAGTGGTTTATAATGATTTATGGCTTTTTGCAATATAAGTTGTTATCAACTGTGGTTAAAGAAATCATGAATTAGAATAATGTAAGAATCTAGCCATGCAGGTCATCACAGACTTCTTCTTCACTGAAATCTAAGCATACCGTCCAAAAATGATCTTCAGGTAGTATTTTAGAGGTCATTGATCTGCAATGAATTGGGAGCCACCTGCCCATTCAATGGCTGTCCATTTGGTTACATTCAGTCAGATTTCTCAAGATGAATTCATCTGTTCACTTGGTTTCCTCCATGTGTTAATTTTGGCTCATCTTGTTTTTTCTCCCCACCTTTTTTTTTTCCTTTTCCTGCCATCACATCATCAACTCAGCTGACACTGAGTGAGAGGGATGTTGGTAGCAACTGACATATTTGTCTTTCTTAGGAATGAGGTCAAGAACAAGGTTTCTATCACCAGATGCCCTATTTAAAAGTCACAGCATGAAGGTTCCCCACCCCTAAGATCTTATTAAGGGTAAAAAGAGAAAACAACAGGCCTACTTCTGGAAAAAAGTACTTAAAGCAATGTCTACAAAGCAATTGCTTTAGGAAGCAGAAATTACACGAATATCTTTACAAACAGGAGTTTTATGCATAACAGAACTCAGTGCATAATTCTTTAAAGGTTAATTTAGCGCAGAATATTCGTGGAAATATAGTAATTTATTTTGTAATCAAGCATTAAACCTAAGAGGTAAGTGACTAGCTTCAACAGCAAAGTTTCCACCTTACTCTTCCAGGTGCAGTATTTGATTGGAAGACTAACAAATTCAAATCATTTTACAGTTCTTTCAGAACTGACAGTCTTTTAAAACTTCATTCTGATGTACCAAATAAATATAATAAAATATATTACACTTTAAAGAAAATACACTATGAATAATTGTTAGCAAACTACTGAAACATTATTCTACTAGTTCTATATTTGCCCTTTCCAGCAAATGCTGAATATATCCTCAGAATGGGCCTTCAGATTCACCTCATAACCCTGTGAGCTGAGAAACTGATCAGCCTATAATCAGTTAGTGGCTGAAGATGAATTTGAAGCAGACTTGTAGCTTAATCATATAAAAGCAAGAGGAAGCTGAACTTTTTTGTATTATGAGGAGTGGTGGGATTCAATTTTTTTTTACGACTGGTTCTGTGAGTGTGGCTTGGTGGGGAAGGATATTGTAAAATCTCCAGTCAGAGGTGATAGTTACCAGTTCTCTGAACTACTCAAAATTTCAACTACCGGTTCTCCAGAACTGGTCAGAACATGCTGAGTACCTCCGATTATGAATATTTATAAATTCAGGATAGATAGATAGATAGATAGATAGATAGATAGATAGATAGATAGAT